GTGTGTAAACGTCGCCACTCGGGGAGACAAAGGCGGCCCGGGCGTGGTAATACCCACCCACGTGTGCCGTGGCGGCCTTTATAGGTGTTCGCCGACAGCACTTGCCCCAAAAAGTATGTTATGCCTATACGGGGGATCTCTGTCTTTTGTGTGTACATCATAAGAGCTCGCTAAGAGCACTTTACACAAAAGTCTGTTTAGGCTATACGAGAGATTTTGCCTTTGTTGTGCGTGTGTAAATGGGGGTGCGGTAGTGTAGTGTGTGTGTCTTTGTGTGTTCGTGTCTTTGTGTGTGCACCCGCATCAGGGTGCATTGACGCTTAACATCCTGAATATACCAGCGTTGAGTTCTCGGTCAATGTCAACATTTGTGGGGGAGCGGTGGCGCAGCGGTTAGCGCACGACGCTACGAACCCCGGCGACCCGAGCTCGAGTCCCGGCCACGACTTTACAATAGCGATGATCCCCGGTGCGGTGTGCAAAACATCGGCAATGGGGGAGACAAAGGCGGCCGGTTGTGGTTACTGGCCACACCATCCACTTCGGACACCGTATCGACCTTCATCGGTGCTCGCGAAACAGCTCTCGCCCCGGCAGCCTGTGTGGGCTGCACGGGGGGGGAGTCGTGGTCTTTGTGCCCGCCCGCCCACCCGCATCAGGGTGCATTAACGCTTACAAAGCTGAATATTCCAGTTTTGAGCTCTCGGCCAATGTCAACATTTGTCGACACGCAGAGCGCGGGGCCGCGAGCATTCGCGAAATTCCTCCAGCGCGGCGCGCTGCGGTGTACGAATTTAATGAGGCTCGCTGACTGATGGATTGAGTGGGAGACTCTGACCACCCAATCATTGTCACGGACTCAATTGTCCTCTCGCCAAACCGATCGGCGAGGCAGGCTTTGCCAGCCGAACGGGCGTCTATTCACCACCCCATGACTTTTACCTGTCGGTTGTTTTCTTCCCCCTAACGTCTTAAATCACCGCACTTGCCGCCTGCCCCCCCACCCTTCCAACTCCCGCACCACCCTCCCGTGTCCGGCCGAACATAAATCGTCGAAGCATCTCAAGGTGGCCCGATCCACGGCAGAATTCTCTCCGCGGAAGTGGTCGATCGGCCAGGGCTTATTATTATTATTATATGGGCGCGGTGACAACTTCTGTTCGTAAGATTTTGCACCTGGGGAACGATTACAGTCGGTGTTGTTCTCGGCCGCAGCTCGCGTTGAAAGTCTCAGAGCGGTCTCCTTTCATTACCCGCCTCCTTGACGTCACAATGGCATTTGCCACGTGACGCGCGAGCGGATTGTTACATCAAAGGACAGGCGCAGACGAAGGTTCACCCGTATCGCCCGAGCAGACCGTGCGGGGTGCAAGTGCCGTTGGCGAGCACCTGTGATCGCACGCACGGTTACATCGCACCCACCACGGTTAACACAAAACTCAACACATTCGTCAATAACACAGCGATGCTTTAAAATATAATACAGTATGTAATAGGCGACGTTTCGGGCATTGGCCCTTCTTTACCGCACGTAAATTAAGCCAACACGGGCGGTAACAGCGCTTCTTGGCGGATTGTAATCGACTTTGGTGGCGCTGTTGTGTTTACGATACGGTTAGGTCAAGATGTTTTACGATACGTTGTTCGGGTGTGGTGGCAGTGTGGTTGGCGCGCTGAAGTTGCAAGCATGGGTTGGATACCTAGGCAGGGAGAGCAATGGCAAATTCTATCTTCACTTGCTACTTAATATGTCGTCAGTCCATCTCTCCCTCCCGCCGGACGTGAAAGCCAGTCAGCCAGTCAGCCAGTGAGCCAGTGAGCCAGTCAGCCAGTCAGCCAGTCGGCCAGTCAGCCAGTCAGCCAGTCAGCCAGTGAGCTATTTAGCCAGTCAGCCAGTCAGCCAGTCAGCCAGTCAGCCAGTGAGCCATTTAGCCAGTCAGCCAGTCAGCCAGTCAGCCAGTGAGCCAGCCAAACTTTCTTCTTCTTCTTCTTCTTCCTCTTCTTCCTCTTCTTCTTCTTCTTCTTCTTCTTCTTCTTCTTCTTCTTCTTCTTCTTCTTCTTCTTCTTCTTCTTTTTCTTCCTCCTCTCCTTCTTCTAAAATTGTGTCGTATGATGAGTGATAATTTACCACGTAAACGTTGTTTGGGAAAATTAAAGGTTGGATACACGTGCAAATGTTCTTCTAAATAAAATATGATTCGCGAACACAATGAATATGTACACGCCTTTCATAATCTGCCCAGTGAATGCATTTGCGAGGCAGTGAATTCGGTGAAACACTGCCACGCAGGTTATCGCTGCTGTGCCGTACGGCTCTCTGATGCGCTTTCAGGTTGCACCGCGCGTTGTTCGGCACGACGGTGTCCGACGTTTTGCGCCACGCGCCGGGGGCTTCTTCACGACCCGGACAGCACGTCGGAGAGCCACGCTTCCGAATGAACCGCATGTGATGGATTCCATCCGATCGCAGACAGTTACAATCGGGATTCTACTGTAAACAAACACCACGTGTAGATCACAGCGGGCTGGCCACGCGAGAGAGAAACAATTCCAGTTTGGAAAACACCGAGCGACTCGACTTATTCGAATAGACATTAGTTTAGTTTTAGATGATAATAAAGCGAACGCTGTTGTTGTTTCTCATATGCGGGTCTAATGTCAGCCCCAGCACCACTACCCTCTCCCGTCTCTTCGGCCCCACCACCACCACCAACCTCTCCCGTCTCTCAGCACCACGACCACCATCACCACCACCCTCTCCCGTCTCTTCAGCCCCACCACCCTCTCCCGTCTCTTCAGCCCCACCACCACCATCACCACCACCAACCTCTCCCGTCTCTCAGCCCCACGACCACCATCACCACCTTCTCGCCAACCGCAATGTCCCTGACTGCAATTCGTGCTGTATAACGGCAATGCAATGCGATTAGATATTGCGTAGCGTCTCAGTGTGACCGATCCTCGAAGACGCCGTGCAGCAACATTGGTGGGCAAGTTTTATGTTGATAGAGGCAGTCAATTGTGCCTGGACTTGAACAACGGCATGGAGTGAACAACACGGACGGCTCAGGGAAGGGAGTTCCAGACCTATGCGGGGGGAGATAGCAGAGGAGGATGTAGCGACTGCCAACTGAGCGATTGTTGACCGGAGGCTTCGAGAGAAAGGTCGCTAGAGTCCAGAGCGCGTGAAGGGGAGCAGAGCGAGATGAGAGGGGGAGATGTAACGGCAGTGAGCGGAGGGGGCGTATAGTGAGATGAGAGGCAAAATTCCAGCAGGAGCGAGTCTATCTTGAAGCCGGTGAGATTGACTCGGCACTGGATTTGAGATCCCTCGGGGCAATCCCGTTGGGCGATCCCGCGGGGCGATCTCAGTGTGGGATTTTTGAGCGGGGAAGGGGGGGGGACGTCGTAGAGGAGATAAGAGGCAGGGGTTTGGGACAATCGACAGCACAGCGGCAATGCAGAGCGCCCAACTTTGAGCGACGTTTCACCCCTTTGGTGCGTCCCCGCGTTTCGCTCTTGCGCCGAGTCTAGCCCGAGTGCAGCTGGCAGGCAAAACAAATATTTGAATAATCGTGACCTTGATTGCATCATTGTGTTAGGAAACTGGATGCAGCGGTGGGGTTGTGCGTGTGTGTTGCTTTTTTTCTTCTCTTTCTGGAACATGCGTTGAGAACACCGCAAAGTGGCCCCGGGTCTCCCGTAAGCTCTCGGTGCAATTACACCCCGGACGATTCCACGCCGAGCCCTCAAGGGGCAATGGGAGTAGTCATATGTAGTTATTTATTTAATAACACGTACATTTCTCCGTGTAAAGAATACGCACGGCTCTCTCTCTCTATGCGAGACGATATACAGCAACGTGACTCCCCCCCCCCCCACCCCACCACGAGGTTTGAGTTGCGGTGTTTCGATTGAGAATTCTTGTAAAGTGCCTCGAACGTTTTTGTTGTTGTTGTTGTTGTTAGATTTTATTTTTGTATTACATATTTTAAAAAAATGAACAAATGGCAACAACAACAATAATTTTAAAAAATATGAAAAAATCCACCGTGACTTTTCTAACCAGAGTTTCGCACACAACTCCGCGTTCAGTGTGATTCCATTGTGTACCTCAAAAAATAAATTTTCTTGCTGTGGTTTTCACACCTGATGATGATTGCTTGTGTTGCAATCGAAACGTCGTGAGAATTTTCTTGTTTTATATATATTTTTGTATTGTTTTATTGTTTCCCTTCTACGTGACTTTACCGAAAGAACAAAGAATATGAATCCCTGCAGTCACGAAAGCTTTAAATCAAAGCTTTAAATCAAAAGCAGACAGATACTGTTACAGCAGCAAAAATATATATAGAATTCGGTTTAGCGCCAGATTAAGGTATGAGTAGTGACGCGTGTTTATTTATGTTGTTTGACGAGGTGAGAATCCATGAGACCAGGATAGAGCCCCATTAGCAAGAGCGACCCGGGGCATTGAGTCTGCCGCTAGGGGGCAATGATTGTTTTGACGCCGTGCAGTAATAATAATCTGGCGGTTAGCAGAATCAGAATATTTACACTAGAGGAATCCGATGAGCTTTAAAGCTCTCTTTGGCAGATGTCTAGTGGGGCCGGGTAAGAACGTTGCAACAACAAACAATACAAAAAAAATTGAAAGTAGTGCAAAGGATAGGAAAGGTGAACTCAAATCACTTAAAACATTGTTCAAATTAAACTAAACTATTTTTTTTTATCTTACCAGGTAAGGCCCACCGAGGTAATAACTTATTTTTCAGAAGCGGCATGGTCACAAATGATAGCTCAACAAAGTGGCTTATCACGTGGACATTTCTAGCAGCAAATTAATCAAAATAAGCAAAAGGCATGTTTCTAAATGTGGAGGGGGAAAATCCACGCGACCACCGGGGAGAGAGACACCGCAATCTCCAAATATATTGTTGAGTTCCACGCGTCTGTGTCTCTGTGCGATCCTGAGTCGATGCTGTGTCCCTTTGTTGCAGGGCTGGTGGAAATCTGTCTGATGCACCCGCTGGATGTGGTTAAGACGAGGTACGTATATCTCTCTCGCTCCTCTAAAGCGTGCCGCTTATTCTCTCCAAGACATGGGTCGACAGTGTTTCAAAGAAGAACAAGAAGAGCCATCTTTTGCGGGGGCGGGGGGGGGTGTCTTTCATCAAAATTGTTCGAGAGCCTCATCACACGCAGAGCTAATTGTACACAAAGCAGCAGATGACAACACAAAATCTGGCTTAAATTAACAAAGTAGGTGCTGGAATAAACTGACTCCTATCCCCCCCCCCTTAGTTATTATTTAACAACTAGCCTCTTGCCCGTCCAAGGACGGGTGTATTGCAGTAAATCTGAAACTTGCAAGCGATAATCAGACCACGACGTGATATTAATTGCATCAACTAGTGTGCCATTTGTAAGGCCGCGGTGACACAGACTTATTTCATTTTAAGGTTATAATCCCTTGTTCATCACGACGTCCTTTTTACTTCGATGTCTCAACAGCGTCACGGAGATCACGTGACGTGAGGGTTCTGCCTTTGTAGTGAGGGTTGTCAGTTGACGCCGAGGAGGGGGGAGGAAGCACCTCGCACCCCCATGTGGAGTGACGTCACCCGCTAATTAATATTAATGAGGGGTGTCCAATAGGAAGACGTCACCTCTTCATGATTATTAATGAGGGGGGCTGTTCGACAAACATTCTTGGCTCATCATAGTAGTTAATACAGTTTGAGTGTTGTATGTCTTGTCATCGCAAAGACATTCCATAGTACACCCCATTCCCTGGCCATATTCAATCAATTATCTTTACATTAAATTACATTGACCATTTATTTAAAAGAAAAACCGCTCCCCGCAAAGGGAGGGGGCGGGGGGGGGGGTAGGCGGGCAACCCAAAGAGTCAGCACGCGGCTCCGGAGCCGGCAGGTTGCCGACTCGTTGCTCCAACGGGGTCGTAGACCCCTGCTCTAAGAGGTCGCGTGTCCAACGTTATTCATTGCGCGCTCTTGACACCGTAAAAAAAAAGAAATCCCGAGCCGCCACGGCCTCGAGTTTCTGTAAATATGCACGCAAAGAGGGTGTCTAACTGGCAGCGAAACGTAACGGGGATTCCCAGCATGCTGTGCATGTCGGGATGACATCAGCATTGCCCAGCACATTCCGCACACGCAGCCTTCTTCAAGGCACACACACACAGAGAGAGAGCGCTCCAAGATTTTTTTTTGGCGCGGCCCCGTCGTTCAACTTGCGAGAAGGCATAAAAGTGTACAACGCAATAAGGCAGCCGATACGTTGCGTTTTTGGGGCATAAATGCTGCACGGAGTGAGAGCGAGGCGGGTAAGCAAATTACATGGTGATCAAACCTTTACAACTCTGCATAAAAAGTTATGTCATCTGTAAAAAATGGAAAGGAAGAAAAAAAATCTCAACCGCCTTCAGTGCGCGCGTGTGTGTGTGTGAGCGGCAGTGTAGCAGTTAGCGCGCTGCGATACGAATCCGGGGACCCAGGTTAGATTCCCACTCACGGGCAACACCAGCGACGATTATCTCAACCGGTCCTGGGCCCTACCATAGGTCGACTGAGCCTCAATTGAGTACCTGGTGCGGTGTGTAAACATCGGGGGGAACAAAGGCAGCGGAGCGTGGCGCTGGCCACCCATGCCATCGTGTGTGTGCCGTGCCGGACTTCATGGGTGCCTGCTCACAGCACTTGCCCCTACAGTCTATTAAGGCTATAACGGGTGATCTTTCCCTTGGTGTGTGTAGAGCCGCCTCACTATCGGTGCTACTCGCTCACGGCACACGTGCCCCAATAGTCTGTTGTTTAAAAGGCGATCCGGGGTGGATCTTTCTCTTTGTGCGTGCGACGCGCGCGCGGCGCAGCAGCACTGCACTCGCACCACGTTGCCCGCGATCTCCTAAACTCGGGGGCTCTTCTCTGCCTCTCTCTCTCTCTCTGCCTCTCTCTATGACTCCCTCTCAGAGCGCAAGTACCAGGGGTGCGAGCCGAGCCGCCGAACGTGCGGTGGATTACGGCGCGCAAGTTCGCTGTTAGAGGCGACTTTCCCGAATGACGAAACCTGCACAGCTCCCGTGCCCCCCCTCCCTGTCCCCCCCGTCGAAAGCCCTGTTAAGCGGCGGGACGTTATGCGGCCAATTATGGGCTGGCGTCGGCGCGGTGCGGCGCTGGTGACAGGAAAGAAGCTGATGCCTGATCTCCATCTGAACCCCATCAGCTTTAACGGCCTCTCATTAGCCTTATTAACCCGCATGCAGTGGGGAGATAAAATTCTGTGGCTCATCGAGGCGTCTCGAGCCGCCGCCTGCCCACTCTGTCTGTGTTCCACCTTTCTCTGTGCCTCTCTGTTTTTAAGGTAGAAGGGGTGGGTGCGGAGGGGTGAAAGAAAAAAAGTTGTAGGCGCAGCCCCTGCAATTGCTCGCTCACACCGATGCTGGTGCAATTGCCCTCTTCCACGCTGGACAGGCGTCTTGGCAGTTGTGGGAGTTGCCCACACTTTACCCCACTGCACGTGAACCCGGCGATCACATAACTGTGGTGTGGCTTATTTTTTTTATATAAACTATGCCGTGCCGGGAGCTTGAGTGGAATCTGGCAACATCTGGATCGCAAATTCAGTGCGCTAACAAATGCACCTCAGAATGATTCCTCGTTTACCTGTTGTCGGTTGTAGTGGGAATCGCGATAGCCTGGAAAGTGGGAATCTCGATAGCCTGGACAGTGGGAATCTCAATAGCCTGGACAGTGGGAATCTCAATAGCCTGGGCAGTAGGAATATCAATAGCCTGGACAGTAGAAATATCAATAGCCTGGACAGTGGGAATCTTAATAGCCTGGACAGTGGGAATCTCAATAGCCTGGACAGTGGGATTCTCAAAAGCCTGGATAGTGGGAATCTCAATAGCCTGGACAGTGGGAATCTCAATAGCCAGGACAGTGGGCATCTCAATAGCCAGGACAGTGGGCATCTCAATAGCCTGGACAGTGGGAATCTCAATAGCCTGGACAGTGGGAATCTCAATAGCCTGGACAGTGTTAATCTGAATAGCCTGGGCAATAGGAATATCAATAGCCTGGACAGTGGGAATCTCAATAGCCTGGACAGTGGGAATCTCAATAGCCAGGACAGTGGGAATCTCAGTAGCCTGGACATTGGGAATCTCATAGCCTGGACAGTGGGAATATCAATAGCCTGTACAGTGGGAATATCAATAGCCTGGACAGTGGGAATTGCGATAGCCTGGACAGTGAGAATTCTGGTAGCCCGGACAGTCGGAATCCCGATAGCCTGGACAGTGAGAATCTCGGTAGCCTGGGCAGTGGGAATCTCTATAGCCTGGACGGTGAGAACCTCAATTGCCTCGACAGTGGGAATCTCAGTAGCCTGGACAATGGGAATCTCGGTAGCCTGGACAGTGGGAATCTCTATAGCCTGGACAGTGGGAATCTCTATAGCCTGGACGGTGAGAATCTCAATTGCCTCGACAGTGGGAATCTCGGTAGCTTGGACAGTGGGAATCTCGGTAGCCTGGACAATGGGAAGCTCGGTAGCCTGGACAATGGGAAGCTCGGTAGCCTGGACAATGGGAAGCTCGGAAGCCTGGACAATGGGAATCTCGGTAGCTTGGACAGTGGGAATCTCGGTAGCCTGGACAATGGGAATCTTGGAAGCCTGGACAATGGGAAGCTCGGTAGCCTGGGCAATGGGAATCTCGGTAGCCTCGACAGTGGGAATCTCGGTAGTCTGGACAATGGGAATCTCGGTAGCCTGGACAATGGGAATCTCGGTAGCCTGGACAATGGGAATCTCGGTAGCCTGGACAATGGGAATCTCGGTAGCCTGGGCAATGGGAATCTCGGTAGCCTCGACAGTGGGAATCTCGGTAGCCTGGACAATGGGAATCTCGGTAGCCTCGACAGTGGGAATCTCGGTAGCCTGGGCAATGGGAATCTCGGTAGCCTGGACAGTGGGAATCTTGATAGCACAGACATTTTAGTTGTTTGCGCTCTGATCGAGTTTCGGGTTGCGACCATGAGCGGCAACCACGAGGCATTGTGAAGTCTCGCGTCCTCATCATTGTGTATGTGAACGTGCCATCACTTTACTTGCACAGTCCCTCATAGTTTATTGTCTCATATTTCGTGACGTACGACGATGTGGGTCATCCTGTTTATGATTTTGCATCTATTTATTTGTCAGACTCACACTGATTGTACAATTGATGTAAAACATTCACTTCCCCCCTCACCCTGCATTTGTATGGCCAATCATACAAGCGGTCCACAGAGGGCTTCAGAGCGGTCACACGCACTCGAAGTCGACACGCGATTACTGGTAGCCACGGCCATGTCAAGAGCTATTGTGGATGTGGTGTGCTGGGTACGGATATACAGGGGGCTTAAAAAAATGTTAACAATTACATGGGACTATCGTTTTTAATGGCGAAAGAACGGATAATACACTGTAACATGATAACAAATGTAATGTTACGAGCTTCTAAAATTCAAAGAGTGTCCACTTGTTCGCCATCAACACGTGACTGGAATCTTCTCCAGGTGGTCTCCAGAGCCCGGAGTCACATGTTACGTGGTATTGTTGCAAATTCTCAGAAGTGTAAAAAAACATGTTTTGAAGCACCCTGTATATATAGTTGTTTTATAAGAGTACTGGAATTAACATTGCACACAGCACATGCACGGTGTAACTGAAGTTGAATTAACACTGCACCTGTGCAGTCCGGTACCAGTGGAGGCACAGATTTTTTTATTTTGTGTTTAGTGTGTTTTCCTTTCCCCCGCACCTCCGATTCGCACGGTTGGGTACGTACGGTGCAAAAGAAGTTCAACATACATGTCATGCACATGTACAGGTCTCTCGTCAAACCACTGCGAAGGAAGTTCAACATACAGTGAGGGAAAAAAGTATTTGATCCCCTGCTGATTTTGTACGTTTGCCCACTGACAAGGAAATGATCAGTCTATAATTTTAATGGTAGGTTTATTTGAACAGTGAGAGAC